AAAGCGAAAGTACCCCATGCAGGTACTAAATTCTCTTGGCCTTTCCACGGACCCCCTTTTTGTCGCTTGGGCGACGAGGATCCCATGCAGTAAGGAGTTCACGACTGCGAGGTGACAACAACAAATCTGGAAGCTTGGAGACCCCATCAGCAATGTAAACTCGGGCCACTTTGTGACTCGACCAGCGCCCCTTCAAAAGGGCAAGTTCCATCGAGCCGGTCGTCTGGACGAGCCATGTAGCCCCCCCCTCTCCGTAGAGAGTACGGCCTGAAGGCCAGGCCCTGGATATGGAAACGCCGCAAATATGAATCGAAGTGATTTCTAAAGGCCTGTCCCGAGAAGGCCCAGATCGGGCGATCAAGCGCGCCATGCGACCGAAGAATATCAACAACTGTACTTGTGACCAAAATGGCGAAATTATGGTCAGTCGTGACCATTTCATCAGCGGCGTTCCTTTTGCCAGTCTTGGTGTCCTTCAAGGATACGATCAACTGTCGATCATTAACCAAGAGGTCGCGACCTTTCAGTCCGAGCAACTCTCCAGTCCGGAGTAGGGTGAAGAACCCCAATACCAACAAACAAGCGAAAAAGATATCATGATGGCAAATAGCATAGTGAGCCAAGCTGAGGACAATGTCAAGCGTTAAAGGCGGTGCTCTGGCAGGCCATTCCAACTTTTTCCATGTCGCGAAAAGACGCCACGCACTGGGTATTTTTCTCTTCGTCATGGGCTCGTAAAAGTGCAAGCCTGACAGCGCATTGCCAACCGTGTACAACGATTCACCGTCCTCCCAAGCCAGCTCAACCCATTCCGCACAGCTCAGGTCAAGCTCACTCTCGCTTTGTACATTTTCAATGAATGGCATCAAAAGACTCAGCGCCACAAAATAGGCGCAGCGAGTTTTATCTGTAACTCCGGCATCTCGCAGGGCCAAACCTTTCCTGGCCTCTCGACGTTCCACTCTGGTTCTTTTATGGATCACTTTAGCGGCGACTCTCACCATCAGTCGGATTTTCCGAACTCTCTACATGGGCGAGGATGAGGTAAACATTATAAAGAAGGAGATGAGCGTTGAGGATCTTCAAAAGCCGGTTGAGCATTCGACTACTTGACCTACCCTTTGCAACGACACTGATCGAGACGTAGGAGTCGCTCAAATGGAAGACACGTCGATCGACCCACTTCTCGGCTTGTATCCCTCGAACGATGCTCAACAAAATTGCCTTCAGTTCTAACTGATTAATGTGTTGATTTGCACTCGGCCACCGCACACGAAATCCCTTCTCCCAGAGCCACCAATCAGCGCAAATGGATTGTCTGGGGTAAGCTCTGGGGTTGACAAGCTCGCCGCTAACGACTCGAACGTCACTGCCCGTAAAGTTTGTCCTCCCTAAAAGCAAAAGGTTGAGGTCCTTCACCCCAAAACGCCCCTCGGCCTCAGCAACGTGTTGACAGCCATATTGCAAACACCTTTTGAGGGGAGCTTGAAGTCGGAGACTGCATTTGAACCCTGGGGCGAGTCCCATCCTTTTGCAAAGGTGATGGTAGTGAATGGAGGGGAGAAACTTGCGGCAAAGGGCAGACCCAATGATCACAAAAGAAAAGACACTGAAGGCATCTCCCACCAGTGAACATTTCTCTCTTTCATAAGCTTCAGGATTCTGCTTGATGTGGCTAGCTGCCCATGCTAAATTGCAATGGCCAAAACCGTAACCCATAAGTAGTGAACGTTCTTCACTATTGATCAAACGCCACGAGGACCCCCTCCACAATAAAAACTCTTCTCGAAATTGGTAAGGAGGGTAAACATAGCCAGAGACTGCCCAGCGATCCTGACAATCTTGATCCGCCCTACTCAAACCTGCCGGCTTTGGCGGGGGCTTGTCTTTCCACACACACCTCATACACGTAGGAAATGCGCCTGCCTCTCTCTCACCTGGCCATTCGAAACCGGGGGTGATCCATTGATCTAACGAAGGGTAGGGCGACTTAGCAATGACCTGCCACCAACGCCTGTCTTTCCGAACCTCAATGCCCCCAAGGCAACCCTCTACAACCTCAGTTGTCCAACAGAGTCTGGGTCTCTTTAGGGGGACCGCATCGGCAGAGTCCAGAAAATAGGGTTCACACCCCATCCAATGGGAAATCTCGTTTGAAGCCGATTCATCCATCGAGGCCACATTTTCTGCTGCTACTTTGATTGCCACATTCGTCGGGAATGTCTGTCTCAGCAACTTCCAAATGCGCAGGAACTCAAAGAACAACGAACTCTCACTGCCGCGTAGATTCTGTCGATGCGCTCTTGCACTACTCAAATCACGGCAAGGAAATCCTCCCCAGAGGTGGACTTCCTCTACCGTGTGGAAACTGCGAGCCCATGATTCCACGTCTTTCTGTGAAATCTCTTTGACATCCCTCAAAATCTGTGCTCCTGGCCATCGTCGGCTCACAATCCTATTGGCCGGGGCGAAGATGTCCACTGCAATGCATCCTCTGGGTGCAATGTCGAGAATGTCATAGATCCTAAACGTCCCACCGATCCCCGAGAAAAGTCCAATAACGAGGATGGGAGCAGTTCCCAGGGACAACGAAGAAAGACGAGAGGACATGACGAAATCCATTCCTTGGGGGGTCAATTGCTGGGAGAAACCAACCGCACCAGCCCATTCCGAGGCATCGCTGCACCAGATTTTTCCATCCACTTCTGCGCCTAAATAGGTATGTAACAGAGGGACGCTTCCCAACAACAATCCAAACTCACGCTTGGTCTGAAGAGCAAGCAGTTCCCCTCCTTTATTGATAAAGGCCCAGGTTTTATCGAGAAAGGACATGGCTGGCCTTCTGAACTGTATCACATGAATCCACCTTCCAGCGACCACCTGCACCGTTTTCTTTTGTAAGGGCTTCTGTCCTAGCATCCAAAGGGTCGCCTGAACCAACTTGCAAAACCTCTGAGGGGACCCACCAAGGACTCCAACGTCACCATGTAAAAGAGCACCTAGTTCTTCTACTTCTGAAACTCTGCTAACCCTCTTCTTCTCAGAGGAGAGGATTCCATGCTGGTTCCAAGTTTGTTCAACCTTCTGGTGCAATGCATCTCCCAAACTCCCTGAACTACTCTTAGCATTCTTTTCACCACCCATGAAATTATCAAGGTAAACCTGCCAAAAGTATCGATCTTCCGCCAATGCTTGTTCTGCTGTCTCCACCAGAATCCTGGGCACCGATTGTCCTCGGCGTACTTGAGCCATCTTTGTCAATCCAGCATCCCAAAGCACCGTCTCTGAGACTTCTTGCATCAACGAGACTGAGGAGTGCATCCCCATGGGCAACACGCGGCATGCCAGTTGATACGAAACTCCTGTTTCGAGATTCAACGTGTCGCCGTCATAAGACACTGCAAATGCCAAGTAGGGCAACCAGCAACGTGGGAGTTGGAAAAGATAGAATGCAGAAGAAATATCGGATTGAGAAAACTTATATTGTTCATCATGTTCCAACACTGCAGCCTGCCAGGCGGTTATTGCCGGCAAGCCTTCAACAGCTCCTCTGACTTGATGCATCACCGAGTTAGTTGCTTTAAGATTCATTATCACCCTCAAGACCGGACGTCCGTCGCTGAGTGTTGCAGGTTTCTTGACTCCAAAAAGTCCGTTGAGGATCTTTTTCTCTTTCACTTTTACCACTTCAGAAGATTTGATCCATTCACAAATCCCCCTCTTAACGAGTTCTTGGCTCACCTTGAGCTTTTCCCCAGGTCCAAAATGGACAGACCCCGGGATTTTGGGACAGGGCTGATCAAAATCATCTTTAAGAAGAAGTTCCGGGGCCTCCAACAACCTTCTAGTTCCTTCTGAAACCAAATCCACAAGTTCAATGGACCCACCATGACCAAAAGGTGGAAGAGCGGGGGAGATTTGATCAAAAGTCAGTTTCTCACAAGTACCAACCTCCTCCCCGGAATAATCGATCTTAGCCACCTTCAAATCAGCACCCACTTTTTCAAACTCCACTAACGCTCCACTGCTGCAGGCCAGAAGCCGCTGCACACCACGCCTCGCCGCAGCTGCTCCTCGAGCCTCCAGCGCCGACCACTTTCCACAAGCCAGCGGCCTGCAAGGACCAGCCAGGCCATTGGTCGCGTGGAGCGCCAGGAAAAGCCAGGCATCCTCTGCCCATTCCTCGGAGAAATCAACACTGGCCACCTCTTCAAGTCCAGCCCTCAAAAGCCTCTGGAAAACTCTCTCTGTCTCACCTCTTCTCATCGGAAATGAGACAGCTCTCTTGAGCTTCTCATGACCAGTTGCAACCTTTTGAGAATCAAAGAGAACCTTTTCGACCCAACGCCACGGACCTGCGCTCTTTTGCACCATTGCTTGCGCCACCAACCATGCAAGTAGAGTCCCAGCACTCTTGAAATCCCGGACTCTGCTGCCGACTGCCAAACAAATGGACTGTCCTGTACTGAATTCAATGTCTGTCCTCTCTATGCTACAGCCAATGAGGTTCCCTGAAACCTGCACCGTCTCATAGCCCTCAATGACCTTCTGTGCGGAGGACAACTCAACTTGAAACAGCGGCGCCACGCCCCCATCATCTCGAGAGGGCCTTACTGTCGCCTCTTGGCCAACCAACACCTCTTCTATTTCTCCTCTTTGTCGCCTTTGTCCTGCGACTCCTTCCACTTGTTCTTGCCTTTTCCTTCTTTGTCCTGCCAAAAGCCTCGGCCTTTTTGCTTTCCTCCCTTTTTCTCCTTGCTCTTGCCCTTCTCCGGATGCCAGCCTCCTTTTCCTCCTTGATTCCAACCTCTTTGCCATCCTTTCTGGGGGAACCACACGTCTGGTGTCTCTACCTTGAAGCTTGCTTTGGCATGCTTTCGTGCCTCTAGTAGTATTGCAGCTGATGTTGCTGACTGTTCCTCCTGATCTGCCACCTCGAGATATCTCGCCTGGCTCCAGCCCTGATCCATCAGGGCTTGATGGGCCGCAAGGAAGTGCCCAGCGGTGAGGTCCGCCGCACGGGCTATCGACCCTGCTCGGATGGTGTCGAGTATCTGGCTCATCAAGGACAAGTCTCGCATAGCTGCTCGATGTTGGGAGAAAGCCGGCCTCACATGGAGGTTGAAGTAGGTGTTTATCTTCACCCCCTCTGTGATTGACCTCCCTGTGTCCTTCGAGACCTCGACAAGGGAGCCCTGGTCCAATGCCTCTTGTGCTCGTTGGACTAGTATGCGAAGCACGGCTCCGGGGTTTGCTTTGGAGCGGCGCCTGAGTGGCGCTTCGAAGCCCCCTTCGGTTGATGACCCTTCGCTTGAAGAGTCTCGGTCGGAGCTGCTGCCGGATCCGTCGGAGCTCATGATGACCCCGTTGACTAGCCTGCGTTTTCGCTTCCGGCTCTTGCTCCTCTTCTTTTTCTTTTTCTTTCTCCTGCTCGACCGCCCTCTCTCTCCTTTTCGACTGGGCGAATCTCCTCCATTGCCACCCGAGGCTCCTCTTGATGCAACCTGGTTCAATGCGAGGATCTCTTTTCTCTCTGAGTCTTTCTCTCTCTTCTCTCTTCCCTCGCTCCCTCTTGAAGCTTTCTCTGACCTCCTCTCCTGGGCCTGCCGAACCAGCTGGCTCGAGACATCTCTCGAAGAAGAACCTCTTGTATCCTCCAACGGTCTCTTCCTCCTCAACGTCGTCCCACTCGTCAGACCTCTCAACTCCTCCGCAAAGCCTGAATCGAATGACTCTCGCCGCTCTCGAGCCCCGCCATCGCCATCCTCTGGCAAGCTCCTCAACTCCTGGATGGAAGGCCTGGGTGCCCCACCAAGTCGGACCCTCACTGCATCGAGTTTCTTCCTCAACTCGTCGGTCGACATCTCCTCGCGTTCTCCTGGAGTACCCAGGCCAAGATCTCCTGCCAACCCTTGGCTCTCTCTCTCTTTGCCTTTTCTCTCTTCGTCCTCTGAGGGAAGCCTCAACTCTTCGGCCTGAACTCCAAGCGAAACCCCCTTGCCCCGCGCCCGACTTTTGGCAGCAGAGCTCGAACGGAGGGCACTGGGCCTCTCGACGCGCTTCAGGGGTCGCGAGTTCCCGCCTTTCAACTCTCCTCCTTCGTCGACTTCCTCTGCACGCTTCCTGGCACGCTCTTCTGACCGACCTCTCGTCCCAGGTTGATCCTCTTCGCTCACTCCGCCTTCTCCCCGTCCTTCTGGCTCCACATCCTTGCCAAGCCACTTTGCAACTTGTCTTCGATGAGATGCCGTATAGTAGTTGGGGTTGAAGCCCTCGGATGTGAAAACCTTCAAGGCAGTCACGTGCAAATAACCTTCTTCGGCTTCGGTGCATGGCCTGCCCGTGCACAAATGCAAGTAGCCCTCTCGCCTGTTGAACTGACTGGACAGCTCCTTGCTCAACTTTGCATCCGAGGATCCGACGGAGTGAACCAGTAAGGCTAGTCCACCGTCGCCAGTGACCAGCCTCTGCATCACCACAAAGCCAGCGTCGACGTCGACAGCCGGCTCCCTGTCTGTAAACTTCAGGTTGACCTCCACGAAGTCCCCATGGCCAATGTTTAGCAACGGCCATCGTTCCACGTCCTCCAAATGGAACGTGTCACCCTCTCTCCACTCTGGGAAAATGCCCTTTAGCGCGGACATGGCGGAGGCGGCGGGAGACCTCTATGGTCGCCCCTCAGCCTCTTGAGCTCGCTGACTCCTCTCTTCTTGTGTAGCCTCACGCCAGGCTTGTGCCTTCTGCGATGGGACTGCTGGTGTTTCCTGCCTCCTCTTCTTCCTCTACGTCTCTCCTTGACTTGCTCACCTCGGTCTCTGCCTTTCTCCTTCGAACTGCTTCCTTGTGTTTTCCGACGATCTCGAGAATGCTCAAGCCTCTCTTCAACCTCCCGCTTCACCTGAACGGGCGGTGCTCGAACCGGTGGTTCCCTCGGCGGAGGGGGTGGTGGTGTTGTACGCCTGCCCTCAACCTCCTCTTCAACGGCCTGCTCCTCCTCACTCTCCTCACTGAAAGAGTAAGTGTATGACTCCTCAGGGTCCGGCTCTGCGGTAACCTCAGCAGACTCCTTGCCAGCACGATCTTCCTCCCTCTGTGGAGGGGTGCCACCGGCTTTGGGAGTCGCGCCAACCAACTTCGACACTCCTTTCAGAGATTCTCCAGTCTCCTCAGTCTTGACCGGCGTCAAGCGAAGGGACAGTGACCTCAGGACCTTCACCTGACGGGCGGCGTCAACCAAGACCTCACAAGCCGCTCTTCGGAGATCAGTGGAACCCCAGCGACCTCTCAGGTCAGCCTGGATGTTCTCCTGAGCGGAGCAACCAACACACCACGAGTCGCCACTCACGCAAACCCCCTGTCTGCACTTATTGCAGGGGGGCCTAGCCATGAACCGATGCGATTCGAGGCTAACGAGCCGAAACACAGCCACAAGATACAATCACCCTATGTTTCTAAAGAAAGCAATTGGTCGTTTTTTGGCCATGCTTTGATCTTAATATACCCACTCCCCCCGTGTGGAGATGCAGAACCGATTGGTTCTTTGTCTGGGCCCGACCTTCTCCACCGATTGCCCACACGCGGTTCTGCGGGAATAGGGGAGGCCACAGGCCCTTTTTTTCGCAAACATCTATTCGTTGCTTCGAGTCCGGATTCTTACGGAGAAGATTGAAATGCATTTGGTTTATCCCTGGAAGTCAAAGACCATTTCCAAAATGTTTTTTACTTTAAAATCTGGTTTCGGCAGTGTAAAACCCTTAGTAAAACAATGGTTGTTTGGGATTCAGACCATTATATAAAATTGTTTTTAGACTTCTTGGGATATGCTATTGATTCGCGGGCATGAACTGCTCTTGGAACCATAGATAAGCCAACCTCCATAGGAGCAGGTTTGCTTCGGAACCCTTCCAGTGGAACGCGGGGAGCAAGCCAAACCTGGGAGACGAGGAGAGAACTTCCGAAAACACTATAACTAATAACCCTACAATTTGCTTGTCCTTTGATCTGGTGCCAAGGGCTTAAGTTTAACTTTATGGTTTAGTAGTAGATCTCTTATAAACCCAAGGGGCTAAGGGTCTAAGACAATAGCAATCGTAACGCATACTCGCAAAAGCAAAAAATACCAGACAGAAACACACGGACCGATTTGTTTGATTCCATGGATCCACACACCCTCCAAGCGAAGGGTCCATGTGTTTCCTCCACTGAAAAAAGACTGGAAGGGTCCGACCTGTTTCGCACCAGACCGGCCCCCTTTTCGCCCCAAAATGCGTCCCCAAATGGGTTCCAGGAATTCAATTATATATATATATAATCGTATAGTACAAAATATATAGTATATAGTATCTTCCTCGACCCAAGGGGTCCAAGAAAGCAAAAAGTAAGTAAAGAACCAAGTGTGGAGTGATCAAGCGAAGGAGCGGACGTTGTTCTAAAACACCCAGCTCTGCTGATCGACATCGATGACATCGATGCTAGTGACCATGAGCCGGTCGAGTTGGTCATGACACTGGGGGGACCCAGGAGGAGTCGATGAGTCAGGTCAACCTACCCAGACCCACACGGAGCTTAGTCTGACCCACAGCCACCTTCTCGGATGTTTGTGGGGATGTGCAAATCACAAATCCATGGCCAGTCATCAATGTAGACTCTTGCTAAAGTCAATAAATCAAGCTTTATGAACCGCTTCTTTATAAACTCTTAATGTGTGTCATCATACCCAGACCATCCATGGGACTGGAATATTGACCTATACAACTAATTACCCTATACCAACTGATCAAATCAAACACATGGATCTCGTTGATCAAACCTGTCACCTCTATAGAGTCCCCGGTCCGGGTCCGACGCACAAACAAATCGCTCAGGCGCTGTGTTCGTGGACAAGCCGAAGTGGAGCCGCGTGACTTCAATGAAGCTCACAGGAATAAACCTCACGACGTTTGCAGCTGCCGGAAGCATCACTTCAGTTGCCCAGGGTCTCAAAAGGACGAAGTCCGCTGAAGCATCACTTGAGTTGCCGCACTCTTTGAGCTCTTCTTAAGAGTTCTAGGCTGTTGAGTTGCTGTGAGTTTCAGCATGATTCATAATGGGTATATCCCCCATTACCAGGGCCCAGTGGATGATGCTTCAGCTGCAGGCCTGAACCCATCTGAAACCCGCTTCACGACCCGACCAGGTTCGCGGCCAACAGACCCGCCCAAAACACCCCACCCGGACTGGGCCGATTGGGGTGTCCGGAGGGATGGGTTCAGGGATCCGAAACAAGGCCGGATGGTTCACGGAGCGTCTGGGCAGTTGTATTGGGTGAACCGAAGCAACTTGATCCGTTCGAGTTGCATCAACTGTTGTCTCCTTGGAAGTTTCAGAGCCCGTGGCGTCTGCCTCCGAGGGGTCTCCAGTCCCAGCCGATGAAAGGGACCGTTCCTGTCGTCACACATTCTCCAGCACCAATGCGTCAAGAAAAGACACCGTTTCCGGCGACCAACGGAGCTCGCACGTGGTTACCAGGAATGGTAAGAACTCACGTTCTCTTGGTTGGTGGTTTGAACTCATCATTCATCCCAGGTAAAGGTTGAACATAAACCCAAACGATCCATGGTGGCGCAAATATTGCCCTTAGCTTGATGGCTTGAAGGCTGGTGGATGTAGGTCATTTATAGCGCCACCATGGACCGGCTAAAAAGAAAACCAGATCTGAACACCATGGGTGATCTCCTCGAATTGGGCGCTACATTAGCAAGAATAGTATAGCTATGTACCTGGACCCTCCTCCAAGGGGTGTCCTGGCTGGACTACCCCACACTACCGGCCTAGACTTCCAGACAGGGCACCCCGACAGGAGGGTCCTGGTATAGCTTCTTCAGCTTCTTGCTAGCCAGGAGCTACTCACTGACCGAACCGCTCCGCGCTCACCGGTTTCTGCGACCCCGGACCGAACGGCGCGGTCGAGCGTCGTCCGGAGCGACGCGGCTTCGGCCCAAACAGGTACGAGTTCGGGGTGCGAGTTCGGGGCAGCATGGTTTTCACCTGTGACTTGGTGGATAAAATCTGTGATGGGTACCCAGGTACCCATGAACTGCTCACCCATCACGATGAACTGCTCAGCCAGACCTTGAGAAGCGAAGGTCCCTGGGTCCCTGGTCTTGCGTTGAATGGATATATGGACCATGCCACTCAGCAAATCAGGAGTTCACCCGGAGCGAAATATGGACCTTCCCCAGGATGCCCACACCTTCCCCCGTGGTTCCCGAAAAAAGGAATGCACCTTCAATTCACCCAGCTCGAAGATTGGGTGGCATGAGTGCGAAACTGCGAAGCGCTGCGTCAAGTTGCAAGATGATCAACACGAACCAGAAGACGGAGCAACATGCACAGCAACACAGCTGCAAAGGTGACCTGTACAGCCGGGATTTCCCGGCGAAGCGCTGGCGTCCGGTGTGTGGTCGATGCTTCTGTTCGGTCCGGTCATGACCCCAAAATGGGCACATCGGGGACATCGCTACAAGTAGGTCTTCTTAATTAAACACAAACAAAAGAAACGGCGAGCCAAGTCCGAAGCGAGGGGCATGGCATATTTGCCGACCAGGGGAATTTCTGGAGAATGTTTGCTGCCCGTGTCGGACCAAAATTCCAGCGTTTCGGACGACTTTGGGACAGTCTGTTTGAGGGTTTGTGTGACATTCGACAGAGATATGGCAGTTTGTAGACATCCTCTTGACTTCTCTTGACGTCCTCTTCCACTGAACCGGCTGAGACTGAACCGGTTGAAATCATTTTGAGCGTTGGGATGGTGAGCATTTGGGTCAGCTTGAACTGTGTGGGAGATATGTTGAATCAGCTCTTTACAGGACACCTTGAAGATTGGAACATGTCTTGCTGCCCATCTAGCCCGCCAAGCTCTGCCTAGTTGCTGACACAAAGTACCAAAGTCAAAGATCCAATTCAATTAAATTTGACTCATCTCCGTTTCTTGTGGGCAAGAACTTGTAAGGCATGCAGGCATACTAAAGAGGATCCACCCAAGATAATGAACTAAAGGTCCAATGAAGCTTCTATAGCTTGCTTTCTAGGCACAATAAATGCTGTTCGTCGTGTCAGACCTGGCAGGCTAATGTTGAGACTGTTTTGAGATTACATCAGGAAACATTCAGGTGTCCTTGGTGACGACTGCTTGAGTGGGAGGGTATTTCTGAGGGTCACTCTGATGGGAAAATTGTCAACAATCAATCAGTTGATGAACTGTACAGCATAGAGTCTTTCCAGCTTGTATCTTTCCTCAATGTTCAAAAAACCACATTCAAAAGAGATCACCAGTCTGACCAACCTTTCTTTCCCCCAAAAGCTGCGAACTCACCGCCTCAAACTCACCTCCCCGCCCTCTTTTTACTCACCGCGCCACGAGGGCGCAATCTCCTCGAGCGTGGTGTCAAGGCGGAGCTTGTCGCTCAGACCCATGGCCTCAGAGGCGCCGTGGTGGAACCTCACCACGTGATCCCGGTTGCAAACCTGGACAGCCAGAACAGGAGGGGTGTTTGACATAATAGACTGGCCCCAGACAAACATTGATCCTACCATGGCCATGATCCTATTCGCACAAACATGTTGGGCAAAAAGTGGCAATGTGTGGTGCGGAGACATTGGTAAGTTCAGTGATAAAGCAAGTTACTTCACCAGAATGGAGGCGATAGTCCTCATTGAAGGAAGCTAAGCTGCATATGTGCCGGGCTTACCCACTGGTCAAAACCTGGAGCCCCTTGCACCAGGGTAGGTTGACCTCCCAGGTAGTTCAGTCAGTCTATTCTCCTCACCCAGTGCACAGTGCTTCGCCAAGGAACCAAGCACATCCCATCTTCATATGATTGATGGACATCTTGACCACGAGATCTCTTGGGGATGGTCAGGGAGAATAGGGGGGCCCGACTCAAACCACAGATCTTGTCCAATCCCCAACCTACAAGCAATGGCCTTCAATCCAATAGCGATGGCCTCCACCCTAGGGATCCACTGCCACCTTCGAAACGAAGGTACGACTGGACCCTCCTGGTGCATGCATAAAAGCGTCTTCAATCACCTTCTCAGGGAGCATGCGGATCCAGTCTTCTGCCCGTGCTTCAACGTAGAAGGCACACAACAAATGTGTCCTTCTTTCTAGATCCATCCAGTGGTAGTGAACACCTAACATCAGAACCCCGCGCGGACTGCTGGTTGCCCAATTTTCCTGGCTGGAGGTCCCACAAAAAACTGTGCGCATCAACAGGACATATAAACACGCACACACACACTCATACTGACTGACTTCTTTACCAAAAGAATGACTAAATGGCAATAGCCAACATTTTGTGAACACTAGTAGAAAGTACGAGTACTAGCCCGACACTCCATGCAACTGCCATATATGCCGCCCCATTGACCCCCCAACACCCGTCCTTCGACCTTCGACCGAACCCAGACCGTTCACCCACCGGTGCTCTTCTCTCTTCGACCGAGAGGACGTCTTGCCCCGGATCAACAACGAGTTCCAGCCGAGCAATGGCTGCGGTGGGAGAACGTTGTTTCCGGACCAGGAGCGACCGATGACTGTCACAGAGGTCACAAAAAGTGCCAAATAAGAGGGTCACGAACGACTCCAAAGAGGTCACGAAGTGGAGGTCCGGGTAGATAGCCACAAACTAGCACATGACTGTTGAGGGTCAAATGAGTGGTGTCAACGCTTGCCATAAATCATACTTGGGGAACCAGTGATTCGACCGAGAAAAAAACATATGTCTTAATGATTCTGATCCATGTTATTTTGTTCAATTAGTTTGGTCTGCTCCTCCCAAGATCGCCCCGCTCCCCAAGATCTCATCAAGGTCTGCTCAAACCCTTCGGCGAAACGACCATCTTCAGACCTGGGAAAATTCATGCGAAAACTCCCGCCCGTGCGGTGGACGCGCAAGAAACTCCACCGTCCAACGAACAAAACACTACCGTTTTGGATGAGTTTTGTTCAACACGTTGATATATCGTCGTATACGATCATATGACAAACGCATTACTAAACGCACACATTAATTTATGGCATGGTTCAACTATGATTTTGTTGAAACAAAATTGCGACCAAACATGGACGAATCAAAAAACCACCACCCACGACTGTTTCATGAAACCTTCCTGTGGTTCTTGATGAAAGAGAAACATCCCTCAAACCACCGGATATCTTTGGTCACCACACCCTCTTGCAAATGTCCACACACAAGGAAATATGTCCACTCTGCCATTGCGCAGGAGTCCGGCAGTGCTATGTGCACAATGACCTGCAAAATTATCATCCAGATGCCTTCCATCTTCTAACCCTGCTTTGTTTTCTATCCCTGCAGATGCTCCCACGATGTGAAAATACAAAATCCTGTCTTGAAGGAAATGAACCCCGCTTCAAAGCCACTCCGCTTCAAGGAAAACCATGTATGGATCATGCCACCTGCACATGTCTCACCTGTACAAGCCTTCACCTAGCCCTCACCGGTGAACAAGTTGACACACCCACCAAGCCTCAGATGGCGCTGCGAAAATGCTTCGCCTTAACCTGAGACGTGGCAGATTGTGGCAGGCATTAGTTGGCGTCCTGAAAAAACAATGTTGCAAACCACTCCCTCTTTAAAGGTTCACGTCATTACTGCGGACTGGAGGATTTATTCCCCACCTGCCAGGTGAGGGCTGTTAGATTTTATCAGAGCTCTTCTTCTTCCTCTTCTCCTCTTCTCCTCCTCCTCCTCTTCGCCTCCCCTCCTCTCCTCATCTTCTTGCCTACCGCACCTCAACTGTCAGCTCCAGATCGCAGTACGCAGGCCCGGCTATACCTCAGCTTCAAGTGCATGATCGCAGTGGGCACTACCGGACCTAACAGCAAGCGCCAGGTCGCAGTGGGCACTACCTGACCTCAACAGCAAGCGCCAGATCGCAGGGGGCGCTGCCGAACCAGCCCGATCGCAGTGGGCGCTGCCGGACCTTGCCAGATAGAATGTCACATATATGCCAGATAGAATGTCAGACTCTGCCAGATAGAAGATCCCTAGATCTTCAAAAGAGCACCTATAAGTGCTCGTGTGGATTTGTGTTCGTTTTCACTAAAAGTACTCGAATGTTATATTTGCGCTCGAGTGCTTTGTTTCAAGGTCCAAGTACTAAGTACCCCCCACACGCACACACAAACACACACACTAGTCCCTGCAACGCCACTTCTATGGATGGCAGCTTTTCGCCGGGAGTCTTAGGCTCGGTTTCCACTGGGTTTTGCAGTGAGTGAAACTCTTAGCCGCGAGTCTTATACTCTGCGAGATGCTTGGTCCCACTGGGTTTTGTAGCTAATGAGAGACTTTCGAATTGTGCTAAACGCCACACGCAGGCTGTGGGTCCGTCTGCTTTGTCGGCTAATTCTTCCTATGTAGCCTTCATCGCTCCAGCACATAGCACCTCGTTGCAGTGGAGGTGGAAGGGTGATCTTAACAGAGGGAAACTGCATCGCTGAGGATCCTACATGCCGGAGAAAGAATCAGCGGTTCGGCCCTTTCCGCTAGATCAAGATGGCATTCCATCACGTGCGTATGCGATTGCTTGGATGACCGTGGTGGTTGCTAAGTGGTTATGATACTTGTTAAGTACTTATGGAACTAAGTAACTATTTAACTGTGTTATTGCAAGTTCGATATAGTCACTTATCAGATTTACATAAACTAACTTATACCAATTACTAAGTGGCACTTAGGAAGGTTACTAAGTGTACTTAGCATGGTTAAGGCAAGTGCGGTAAGTCTGTTAAGTAGGTCGCTGCGACGCATCATAAACGGTTCGATTTCATTTTCCACGCTGGTACGCGCCAACGAAAAACAAAAATATATAGTTGGTTTTTTAATTTGCAGACCATCAACTTTTCCAAAAACAGGAAATGTCCTTTTGTGTTTTTGCTAGTTGGTGTACATGTTTTTAAAAATCTGCGCAGCCCCTCCCCGCTGCACAGGGTGGCGCCCTCCTCTCCAGATAAAACAGCGCCTCCCTTTTGGTAGAATCTTTGTATAATTCACAACGCGTTATTCAACCACTGTTATAACGAAACAGAAGGAGAGAAGAGAACGGACAACGTAGAAAAACGTAAGCGCAAGAACCACACCCTCAACAAAAACAAACCAACCTCACAATGTATTGTATACCACCTTATCAGAATTAGAAGAATATCTGCACAGCCCCTCCCCGCTGCACAGGGTGGCAACCTCCTCTCCATACAAAAAATGCTGCCTCCCTTTTGGTATATGTATGACTGGCATTTATGTTTTCTATTTTTTTTGTAAAAAAAACTGCACAGCCCCTCCCCGCTGCACAGGGTGGCACCCTCCTCTCCGTACAAAAATGGCGCCTCCCTTTTGGTATATATGTATGCGTGACTTGTAATTGTGTTTAAATATTTTTCTTTTGCAAAAAATATGCACAGCCCCTCCCCGCTGCACAGGGTGGCACCCTCCTCTCCATACAAAAATGGCGCCTCCCGTTTGGTGCGTATGCAACTGTATGAGTGTGCTTGACTTTCTATTGTTAATCCGTTTATAAACAGCAAAAGAACTACCTGCGCAGCCAAAAAACTATCTGTGCAGCCCCTCCCCGCTGCACAGGGTGGCACCCTCCTCTCCGTACAAAAATGGCGCCTCCCTTTTGGTATATGTATACGTGACTTGTAAATTTTGTTCAAACTTCTTCTCTTTTGAAAATAAATCTGCACAGCCCCTCCCCGCTGCACAGGGTGGCACCCTCCTCTCCGTACCAAAAACGTGCCTCCCGTTTGGTGTGTATGAGTGCGGTTGACTTTCAGATTTTTGGATTAGTTTAAAAACAACAAAAATCTATCTGTGCAGCTCCTCCCCGCTGCACAGGGTGGCACCCTCCTCTCCATGCAAAAATGGTGCCTCCCGTTTCATATGAGTGTGATTGAGTTCTATTTTTAAATTTTGTTAAAGCACAACTATCTGTGCAGCCCCTCCCCGCTGCACAGGGTGGCACC